GAGAGAAGGGGAGAGATATGGAAAGGAGGTCAGGAAACAGACAAATTAGCTTCACATAAAGCTTCTTGCAGCATAATATTCATCCTCTTAGTTCCACTTGGGTCTCAGCCTGTATATCAATAAATGCCTGTGTAGTTAAGAACCTCACAGATAAAGAAAGCCTTTTCTGTACACAAGCCCCTGAGATGAAAAAAAAAGCTTCAAGTTTGCTGTCTGATGCTCACACAACTCAACATTACCCCCTGCTGGTCATTAAAAAATGACATGTTTGTTTGCACTGCATTTGATTGCACACATACTCCTTGAAACTAATTGCCTCTGGGAGGATTAAAATAACAGGATTAGCCGTGGCAATAGGTAAGATGCAACAGCAATAATTCACTCTGTGGAAAGCTGTGATAGTGCTTCATGCAGCGAGAACAGCAAGAGTTTCCTGTCATAGATTTTCAAATTGATGTCTGGAACAAATCAGAACGACTCAAAGCACCATTAGTGCTCATCTGCTGCTTTGTCTAATCACATAATATTCATATTTCATGTTCAGATGAGAAGTAGTGAACAAGCTGCTGCTAATCTAACAACAGTCTTGCCTTTCACTTTTAACATACTGCACAGTACTTCTAACAGCTTCCTTTCTGTCATTTCCTGTCTTATCCAGACCTCCTCCTGCCACTTGGGTCATCCCTCTCTTTCTTCTCTTTCGGTGTCCTTTAATAAGCCCCATGTGGAGCAGTTATCTTGTAATTAAAATGCACATCWTTCATCTGGGAGAAAAGGAATCTCCTTAATCTGCAATAACCCACATTCTAGCCTCTGAGGATTGGGTTTGTATGCGGCATGCACACACACCCTTCCTAGATTCAGTCACTATCTAGACGCTCCCACCTCCTTTCCTGCTCGTTTGGGCCCAGATGTGCTTTGCCATGTCTGATTTAGAGTGGCAGACACAAACTCTAGCTGAGTGCTGTCGTTTTTTAATGTTTATTACGAGGAAGTGTTATCTGTTTTATCACAGTTGGTGATATTCTGACTCCGAGTTTTGTTTTTTTTTTTGCTTCATAGAAAGCCTTTTTTTAAGTTATCAGTATGAGTATTTCAGAGAAAAAATACACAGCTGAGTTCTCACATCTCCTGTGTTCCTCARATTGCAGTTCCATATTTGGTCTCTTGGGAACAAGCTTGAGCTTTGCACTCCCYTCTGTATGTCAATAAACGTTTGCTTGGCAGAAGAGGCCAACACACCTTTTGTACGTTCTCCTGTTTGTACATGTTCAGTGAACAATAGCAGTCAGAAATAAAACTTTATAGCATATCTAATGTGACTACACAAAATATCGAAAATTTATTGTCATCGCAATAAAAGCCTGTGCAATATGCATATCGCAACAACTGCATAAACTGCAATAAATGGTTGACTCAAAAGTTAGCGTTTATGTGTTTTGTCATTCAGATGGAAGCTTGAAAAATGTCACCAATCAAATGGAGCCCTTTATGTATTTGGTCAATTAAAAAAATCAGGATAGAATGGAAATGATTAGTTTTTTCAGGTTGTTTTTTTGGGCTTTGAACCCAGAGCAGAAAGATATCAGCACTACATACATACATACATATTTATTCATTTATCGCAAGTCATATCGTCATCGCAATATTAAGCACTGTTATTGCACATCGCAGGTTTTCCTAATATCGTGCAGCCCTAAATGTGACATTATTCTTAATTAAKGCTATCAAGACTAATTAGTTTTTTATTACAATTATCTTTCCTTATTTTGATGCAAAAATACTTGTTTATTTTAGTGACTACCTCCACACAAGCCTGTGCACGACAGGCTGTGTTTTATGTAGCCCAGAGGCTCATATTTGAGCCGTAACTGTGTGATATTTTATTAGTGRGGCAGAATCCTTGTAACCAGGGTTAAATCTAGTTCAGCTCTGAACTAAGTTGATTAACATCTCTTGTGTAAAACATCTGGACTCACATCTGTGGACCGAGGACTCCACCAGCTGCGGTGAAACTTTACTCTGACATTTCTAACAGATAACACTCAGTTCCACTCACTGCACTACTATTTATTTATGTGGTATTTTATTTTCTGATCAAATATAGTTTGATGGACTGTTTGAGTCCTACCATTCCTTAAAATAATGCATCGCCGCTTATTTTGAGAAATAACTGGATTGTAGCTGTTTTGGTCAAACCTAAAAATCTCTGTGCTATTGATAGATTTCTTGCTCAGAGTAGGTTTTGTATTGTTATATATAAAATTATCTGTGCCATAGTTATTAACGCAGGAAGACCTTCAACATTAAGTTTCCCTTTCCCTTCTAGTTTAGCAGAAGTTATGCTTATTGAACGTGAGTCTGACACCTACAGTAGGTCTTTCCTATCCTTTAGTCCTGCTGCTATAGGCTTGACTTATGGACAACCTGACTACTTCTCACTCTGCAGCTGTCTTTACCCACTCTACTTGCCTTGTTTGTTTTTATAGTTATTTCTGTCATTAGCATGTCTTTATTCTTTGTCTTTCTTCCAWTAAAAATACACCTGGACCAGTCATTGTGTTTGTCTTTTTCACATCCTCTCAAACCCAGCCGGTTAAGGCTGATGGTCCTGAAACTAGTTCTGCTGGACGCTTCTTTCTAATAAAAGGGAATTTTTSCTTCCCACTGTCTCCAWTGTGCTGCTCAGGWTGAGAGATTGTAATGAAGTGAAGTATCCACACTGTTGCCTTCATTAGAAACTGTAGATAACTTTTACTAGTTAGRATTTTATGATGTATGTGAATGTTTTTGTACAGGACCTGACTTGTGTTGTGAAATGGTGCTAAAAGAACAGAACTGAACACATGCACCCATCTGCACTGACTTGACTGTTGCATTGACACGTTTTTGATTGGTTTGTTTTATCGTACTGCGTTCATGTAAAGGCAGTTGTGTTCAGTTTCACAGGTGTTTTTTTAAATCACTCAGTTGGGGATGAGAGGGGCAGCAGGGTAAACAGAGCGCTGTGTTGTTTCCACGATGAAACTCTGGAATGTAACCGGGCCTATGTGTCCAAAAAGGAGCCTCTGCCGTGAAACCCAGTCACCTGGCATGTTAGCCATGATAATTATGCTAATGCTAAGGTGGTCCAAGTGAACCTGACTCAGCTGTAGCTGTCTCCTGTCTGTCTGGGAACTGCAGCGGTCCACATTACCACAGCACAGATTATGCTCTGGGATACCCAGCAGTCATTTTCAAGTTTGGTAAAGGTTAGAAACTCGTCAAGCAAAAGAAGCATATTTGTAATTTTATTTTATTTTAAGAGGTAAATACAAATTGAGCACATGAAGCATTAATATAGTGTGAGTCAGGAGGACGCTAAACAGAGCCTGTGCTAACAGTGTAAAGGAGGGGCTGATTATAGCCCTTTTATACCACTGCCGTACCACTCCCTTAGTTGGGTATGCCTGTGTTGATAAGAGCTCTGCTCTCTGCTGTCTGCATTTTGGATCTTTTCTCCACTGTAACGTGCTCAGACGACTGAAGTCGGACACCTTTACATAGTTTAGTTCATCGATTCTGTAAGTAGTATCTCTTCCTTGAACTTTCAGGCAGTGGGGTTAGCTGGTGTAGCAGTGGAGGGATCACCCATACTCCTTACCATTTATTTTAACCCTTCTCTCGCCTTGACCCTCCCCTCCCCTGCTCTCGCACCCTTTCTTCTCTTGTACTGATGGTAGAGTTAAGAGAGGCAGTTCCTGCCTGGCATAATGTGTGTTTAGGTTGACCTCTTCCTCCACTGCTGCTTCTTTCTCTGCGTTTTTCACCTCTTCACCTCCCGGATGGTCAGATTTGTCTTTTCCTAAGGTGTGTCTCTTCTTCATGTTAATTTTAAACTAGTTTGTTACTCCTGATCCAGTAGATTTATTTTAGGACAGTACTTCGGTGTGGTATTTGCTGCTGATCATACTTTGTCAGTATTATCAGATAGTCCCACTGAGTATTACACGTGACTTGAATAGTTTTTCTTTCTGCTTCTCAGCAAGACTCATACCTCTATAACAGCACTGTTTACTCACTGTTTTAAATGGTTAGTTTACTACACCTGCATTTGATTGATTTATATCTTAAGATGTCAGTGTTGGTGATTTTAGTTGTCTGCGCAGTGCTTTATTTYTATAAAATATGTATTTTAAAGATCAGGTTTTGGTATTTATGTGTTTTTCTTTTTAGAAGTTGTAAAATTCTCCTAGAGAAACTAACCCCTGCCCTGTTTTGTCATGTGCTAAAATAGGTTTTCAGTGACACAGTCTCTGTGCACTTTATTCAATCTCCTGTGATGTTATATGACCTACCTGCTTGTTAGAACTGGTAGTTGTCTTTTGGCCTGGGGCTCATGTTTTTCTCAGAATACCAAACATTTCTCCGAATTGGTCAGCTTGTAAATGAAAATTATTATGGCTGCACATTTAATAATATTTTTTTTTTATATGTTAGGTCCAGGGAAGTGTCAATGAGTAACCAAAGGAGTGGCTGTAACTGCCTGCGTGATTCAACTTTGACTACTTTGAATCCTTTGATGTCAGCACACATGAAATTTTGACAGATTGCAAAAGAAATGGTGATCATTTGGTGGTGTTGCGCAGATGACACGATGAGCTGAACATTCACAAGAACTACTCCTAGTGCTCATGATAATTTTATTTGGGCTGGACAATGTGGAATAAGATGATTCTTTTTAGTGTTCTTCTGTTGAGGAGAAGGTGTTGATATATTTATTGCTACATAGCTAATTTCTCAAACTTTGGCCAGGGGGTTGAAGTTTGGTAAATGATAGCTCAGTGCTAATGTGGTTTAGTGTTGACATAAATGTAAGCCCTTCTAGTTTTCTCTTTTCATTTAAAGACCTTGTTCATTTTCTGAGGATTCTTTAGAGCATCCAAAGATACTCCACAGTTTGTAAATTCCTTATAAATTAAAARGAATAAAACATGCTCTGTGTTGTATTTTTTTTATAGATGCTCTTTTGGCGGACCTTGAGTCCACAACATCCCACATTTCCAAGCGCCCACTTTTCCTTTCTGGTGAGACCGCTTYTTCCTTTCCTGCCGAGGMTCAGAACCAACAAGACATCTGCTCMCCACCTCAAGTCCCATCAGAGAACCCTCTAAACGGGGTTGATGACACCGAGGTAAGTGCGTGCYTACCAGATGGAAGAYGGATTTGTGTCATTTRCTTCTGAACYAAACTCTGTGGTGAAATATTTTGTTGTGACTTCCGTTTTGCTCTTCAGTTCTTCAGCGCAGCTCAGAAAAGCCCCTGGTCTGTAGAAAGCAGCAGTCCCATCCAACGTGTCGGTGAAGAGGACCACGTATACAGGTCAGAACATTCTTTTAGATGGGGTAAAAAATAATAATCTATGGAAAACTTAACAAAATAGGTTGTATTTAAAAATAATTAACCAGATGTACACATAGAAATGAAACTTCTCACTTGATTATATTTTTAGGCAAAGKACTGGGACAGAATTTTGTAGTAATAAGATTTAAAAACAATAAAAGTTGTAAATGATGTGTTTTTTTTTCTGGATACTGTAGTCTCCCTAATAAACAGAGGGGCAGTGAGTCATCATCAGCTGCTGCTATGAATTCATCTTTGGGCAACAACCTGTCTGAGCTGGACCGTCTGCTGTTGGAGCTAAATGCTGTCCAGCAGAGCACCCCTGCCTTTCCCACCGAAGGTACTTTGACAATAAACTAGGGCTGTGAAATTAATCGAGTTAACTCTGATTAGTTTTAGTGCTGCATTGCCATAGATTAAAAATTTTATCGCAATTAATCGCGATTAAAATTTACAATCACTTTACTATGGCTGAATATGTAGGTTTGTATATTGCAATGCACTCAGTGCATGCCAGGTCATGTTTGTAAATGAGAAGTGGTTCTCAAACAGTTTACCTGGATAAATAAAGGTTAAATAAATAAAATAAATAAAAAAAACTCCATGTATAACACATTATGTACAGTTTTTTTTTCTTTTTGTCTTCTTATGGCTTATTTTATTTTATTTATTTATGTTTTGCTGACAACTGTGACCTTAGTATCTKTCTTTCATTCCTCATGTAGTACTCATTTGGAATGAAAATCCTTGAATTTTTGATTTAACCATTATTCTGCACAAAATTTAACTGACTCACATATGTTTGGAGCATTTTTAGGTCCTGMTTTATATTCAAAAAATTATCTAAGCATCAATTTTGTTTTCTAAATAAAAACATTAAAAACGAATTAAGAACTCAAGTAATTTATTTTATCAATATGCAATAGAAATGTACAGTATATCATGATTAATTCACAACTACTTTGGGATTAATCAGATTAAAAATATTAATCATTTGTCAGCCCTACAATAAGTATGATGCAGTCTCGCGTTTCTCAAAAGGGGARGTAGATGTCACTGCATAAATATAGCTCATGGTTTTGTGGTATTAGATGGTGATCGTTTTCCCTTCACGATGTTTCGTCTGTGTCCTGTTGAGTTTACTATCAATCGTGAAAACCTACAAAAAAACAAATGTATCTTTTTCTAAAAATGATTATTCTTATTTTGAAGAGGTAGCTCCACCACTTCCTGCAAGTGGCACAATTCATCATATCCAAGAAAATGGAGTCTCTACTTCGGGTAAAGCCACTCTGGAGAAGGGCAAGCGCACCGCAGCTACTCGAGGGATAGAGGATGTCCGGCCAAGTGTGGAGAGCCTTCTAGATGAGCTGGAAAGCTCTGTGCCCTCAGCCCTARCTGTGTAAGACAGAATAATTCTTCTAAAGCAGCATAGGAGTTATACATGAATGAATAGAACATTAATGCTCACATGTTGTTTTGATTTAAAAAAAAGTCATCGTTTATGTGTTCTTCTTTAGTCCCACAACTTTGGTGGTGTCAGATGGCAACACACAAGCAGAAACACTGCCACAGCAACAAGCCAGGATGTCTGCCTCCTCTGCTACACGAGAGCTGGATGAGCTCATGGCCTCCCTGTCTGACTTCAAAGTCCAAAGCAATGTGAGTTTGATTTGAAAGTGTGGGGACTTGGGCTGTTTGAGATTTTTTTTTACATTCATGGCAGGTAGATAATTTGTTCTCATGTAACTGAAAGCCTCACAGATTCTGATATTATTTACGCCTCTGAGCTGCCAAGTAAGGCAGTGACGGAGTCCAAATGGTTCATACACAGTGTGTAAGGGTAAGCCAGCGTCGCCGCTCGAGGGTCTGATGTAGTGATGACAGACGGTCTGTACGAACAGCCAGCTGCAGGATTTACAATGGCAAATGTTCCACACATTTTCTGTGTAGTGCCGCACATCAAAACCACAGTTATACTCCATGTAAGGCAGGGTTTGCAATGCTGGCTTCATTTATGAAAGCTCCTATAACACCAGCTCAGTTGGTGTATTTATGAGCAACAAGGGGCAGCTTAAAGCCATAATGGCACACACACGTCATTTTGTAGTGTTTTTCTTTATTAGAATGTTCATGCTTCTAACACAGTTTCCACGTAATTAATGTGTTATTTGGGGATTAATGGAAGTGAAACTCATTAGGGTTTTCATAAAAATTGTGTTGCAAGAAGCAAATATTCCACATCTTTCTTTACAGCTAAATTTGGTAATCAGTTATGAAAATTCTCCTGTTAGAATATCTGGTCACAGCTCTTTTGGAAATGATCTTAGCCCCAACTTTTGCTTTAACTCTCTCCATAACTCAGTTTCCTCCCCCCATATTACTCTATTCTGTTGACTTCAGTCACTTTTAGTTTCAGAAAGAGAAAAAAAAACTTTTGACTTGGCATCTTTGATTTCATTGTTATTCCTCTGAATGTGTTTATATCCAAGGTTATTTTCCTGGCTCAGTATTTGTTGTGCACTGAGACTGTCCAAAGTATACTTATTGATGTTCAAATGTGAGCAAACGAATGAAAGTTGACTGCTGATTTTGCTCATTTATGGTAGACATTTAATGAAAGATGCACATTTAATGTTTTTTCTTGGTATTGATGATATACATGTGCAAACAGTTGAAATCACAGGCATTGAAAATGTTCACTTTTTCACAGCTCCTTAAAGGCTACTTTTTGCAACTATATTYCAAAACTGTTTTTCTGAAAATGCTTTCTCATAAACATTTATTTATACTATGTTCCATATAGGGATGCAACAATACATGTACCCGTGTCGAACCGCACTGAACTGTATCGAACAGTGCTGTATCGAACAACACAGATTTTAAAAATTTACTTTAACATTTCTTCTGAAGCTGCTCCGTGTTAAAGGATCAGTGGATCTGTGTTCGACTGCTCCACCTAGGCTGCATTTTTGAGCGCAGATCCACTGAGAAACTTGCTGTTTCAGCAACATTTAATTTAAAAACTGTACTTTTGAGGTTAAACAAATGTTCATAATTAATATAAATAAATTAAAAGTTAAAAGGGGCATGGAAATTTCTCTTTTTTGTATCGAAAAAATATCGAACCGTGAGACTAAAGTATCGAACTGAACCTAATCGTGAATTTCCTGTATCGTTGCACCCCTAGTTCCATATGCATACATATTGTGTTCACTTGATTTGTGTTATTGCAATTTTTTTATCTTTATTTTTATAAAAGCATAATATTTTGTTTAAACTAAAAAGCAGCTTTTGAGATTTAAGGTGTGTAGTTTATGGATGTCACGGAGCATCTTTTAAGACTGAAAGAGTTAAATGATTGCTCTACTTTTATATTTGCTTTGCATGTGAGATTCTTCACTGTCCATTCCCTTCATTTCAAGTTCATTCTGTTCTCTTGGTCTTGTTTTCTTCTCTGTCGTTGTGTATGTCTTGTCTGTGGATGTTCATTGCCCTCGTTACAACATTGCARCTGACTCAGTCCAGCTCTCAACTGTCTGTGAATCAGGACTCTGGGGAGCCTCCATTAGTAGCAGTTGCTCAAGCTGTAASACCTCACATTGGCTCAGAGGACACGCCTTTAAGTTACACTTCCCTTTCCTMTGAGCCTCTTTCATTGGAACTCCACATAGATGAGGATGGTTGCTCAGTCCCTGCATCTTCATCTTGTTCGACTGTGGCAAACACATCATCCAGGAGCTCTCAGTACTCCCATGTTCCACAGAAAAATGATGGTGGCAGTGTAACATCTGAGGTGTCACATTTGGAGAGCTTCAGTGTCTCTAGTACTTCAAAACCTCACATCCAAACTGAAGTCAGCAGCCCTACACACACGTTGGTAACTAAAGTGTCTGCCAGTACAGGTGTGTCTYTCAAGAGCTCCAGTCCAGTTGTTGCCAAAAGTCCGCTTACTCTGTCCAAAATCTCCAGTCCCATTTTTAATTCAAAAACTCATACTACTGATGTCAAATCTAAAAGCCCAGAACCTAAAACCTTTAGTCCTGTTTCTATAGGTCACGGTCCACTGGCAGCTACAAAGAGTTATAGTCCTMTGACCGTATCCACTGCTTCAGAAGCTGTGGCAAAGACAGCTAGTCCGGTCACAGTTCCCAGGATTTCAAGTCCAGTTCCAAAAAGTGCGAGTCCTGTGCCAGTCCCTGTCATCTCTAGTCCCTTAAATGTCCCAAAGAGTGTTAGTCCTGATTTGGTTAGCAAAAGTGCTAGTCCACTGACAATTCCAAGACTTTCCAGTCCAGTTCCAAGGACTGCTAGTCCCCTAGCCCTTCCAAATATCTCCAGCCCTTTAGCTTTCCCCAAAAGTTCTGGTTTTGAAATAATCCCAAGAAATTCTTCCCCTGTAACGCTACCCATGCTTTCAAGTCCAGTAACACTTTCAAAGAGTGAGACTTTGGTTCCCAAAAGTTTTCCTCAAATCAAAAAAACATTCGCTGCTTCAGGCACCAGTAGTCCCAGGACTTCTCCAGTTTTATCTGCTACTGTACCGTCAACCAACCTGAATGCCTCAGACATTAAAGGAGGAAATATTCTGGATTTATCATGGCCATGCCGGGAGCCGTTATTGGATGATGCTTTAGACAAAATATTATCTCCTGACTCCAGTCGGTCGACTGAGAACCAGCCACCTGCTTCTGTTTTGCTCATGGATGAGGACAGATCCTGGGAGGAGGAAGATGTAATTTATCCCGATCTCAGCAGAGAAGAAACCCTGACACCCATGACTGAGTCCAGCTGGTTGGACGAGTGTTTCACCCCTTCCAGCTGCCCTGGAACACCAGATGCAGCGCTGGACCTGCCCTTACAGCAACCCTCTGCTGTTGAGCGACTGTCTGCTTCTGGTCAAGTAGGCAATTTAACTCCCCAAAATAAACTGCTGTCATAAAGCTGTAGATTATTTAGGATCCCAATTGGTCTTTTTTAAAATTTGGTCATGTGGCCAAAGATACAAGTGACCTCTGATTATAATACTAGAATGGCTTTGTCGTATGAATACTCAATAATTTCCTACTCTTTAACTCTGATGTAAGCTTATTTTGGGCGAGCAGTTTTCATATGTGTTGAAGGAGTTGTGAAATTGTACAAACATGTCGAGATGAGGAGAGATTCCTCAATCTTTGTGGTGTAACGCATGTGGTGTCATATAACAATCAGTGAATGGCTCGAGGGAGCCATTTCCCTGTAGAGAACATTTGTGGGTGATGTTGAAAGCTCTGCTGAAAGGTTGTCAATGCACGTCTGCACTTGCTTCTTTCATTGTTGCTGCGTTGGACATGCTGTTTTGAATTTGCTTACAATCTGTCAGTGCCTACAGTGAGCACAGACGTTTAAGAAACTTTCTAGAACTATTACCTTTATGATGTTTGGCTTTGTTTTGGCATGTGTTGACATTTGAGAGAGCCATTTGTAATTAGTCGTTTTCACTTTAGTTGTCCAGCATGTCATACATTAGATTTGATGGCAAAGAATAAACCTAAACTGAAGGCTGTGATTTGTTTCAGCCAATAAGTCATTAAATATGTGAGTGCAAAGCATTTTGGCTGGCATAATACAAATCTATTGCTTGAGTGTTTGTGCCCTTTTTAATGACGTATTCACAACTGGGCCCATCCTGATCATAACACAATGTGGGATTTTCTACTAAATGGCATGATCCCAGCTTCCCACGCCTCCTTATCATCTGCTCTCCAGCTCAAGTCGGTTATCCGCCGCACCAAGGAGACGTCCAACGTCCACCCAATGTACAGGGACGGACTGAGGCGAAAAATGGGACCAATCATTGTGAATAAAAGCAACTCGCAAGATCGGCTAATTGAGGAGCTGCAGGGGAAGCTGGGGATTGGGCGAGTGGAGCGCAGGCGGAAACAGCAGCCAGACGACTGGCTGACCGAGGGGGTCATTGTCATGTCGAACCCACAGAGAACTCGGGAAGAAGGGATTCAGCCGTCTGTGGACAAGGTAGACAGACACTTGAGGGATGTATTGGAATGATCTTAAGCCAYTTGGACATTAGATGTTCTGTTGAAGTCCACAGAGACTTGTACTCCTAATATTTCATCACATTGCCCTAAATTACTTWCATAAGTCAGTTTTAGCTGATTTGGGTTCTTGTGCCAGTTTCATGCCACCTTTTCATACTTTCTATTTTAATCAGGGTTTTCTTGCTTGTCTTGTCTGTTCTTTCTTTTTGCCATTTTCTTTTCTTTTCTGTCAGATCATCATCCCTCCTGAATCACCAGTCCCACAGAGAAAAGTCCTCCCCCCTCCACTGTCTCCCCCAGCACCCAAAAAGCCACCCCCAGTCAAGCAGACACCTCCGCCACTACCTCCTCCACCTCCGACCCCTCCTCCTCCTCGAGAGCCCACTCCTCCACCCCCCAAGGAGCCTACTCCTCCCCCACCTAGGGAACCCACGCCTCCCCCGGACCAGCCCCCTCAGTCGCCTAGRCCCCCACCTAAGCCCGTCACGCCACCCCAACCTCCAAAGGTCCTCGTGTCAGTGGGTTGTCAGACGGATTACGACCCTGTCTTCCCACCACTGCAGGCACAGTTCACCTTTCTGTTCTGATCACCCTACTTTCACACTTTGTACTCGTTTTCCACTTCCTGCTATGAATTCTCCTGTTTATTGATTACCTATTTTCTTATTTGGGCTTGGATTAGGCATCAGTATGGAAACAGTCAGCCTTCTCAAAGCTTTGTCTGAAACCCAGTCAGCTCAGGTTAGGAGGGGCATTGACGCTCAGGCTGGAGAGACTGAGCCCCTTTTCTAAATCTGACATCCGATGGCGCCAAGAACTGTGCGTTTGGAGTGGAGGTTAGAATTTAAGAGCTCAGGGGAAAGCAGAGTGGAGCTCCCCAAAGTTCCTGTTGCTCTAAGTGTCCTGCCACCCTCAGGAATGGCAGGCTCGCAGTGCAACTGAAACCCAATCTGCCACATGACAGCGCAGTTACCACCACATTTAGAGCAAGTCTCACAGGACTTAAGTCAACAGGTCCCATGGGTTTAGCTTAAAGAAAATGAAAGGCCACTATTAGGCTCCTTGAGTCATTTGGTAAGGATTTGTGGAAGTGGATGATTACATTCAGGATTTATTATGCATCTACAGTCTGTCAGGGGCTTGTTTAATTTTGTCAGAGGTGAGGAGYTCGTTTGTGTAAAAAAGAATATGTGGTAGCAGAGGTGCTATTTTCTCTCTGAGGAATGAAGGAGTCGTGAAGATCCTATAACCTCACCATTTGAGAAGGTCTGTTTGCTTATATTGCAGCACTCAAACACACATACACTATGTTCATAACATCTTTACACATCTGCAAACATGAATTAAAAAATATTTTTTCACACTTTGTATTGGTTCATCATTGCAGTTCCTCTAACAAAAGAGAAGATGGTAAAATTACATTTATTGTTTTTTATGTTTTTGGTTTGATATTTTCTTAAACATCTAAAACACCAATAAAATCATTTTCCATTTCTGATAGATCCAGTCACAGGGCAAGACCTCTCCCCCTGATCCCCCAAAACAAGCCAACAAGCTGGACAACATGCTYGGAAGCCTGCAGTCTGACCTCAACAGACTCGGAGTCCAGACGGTGGCCAAGGGGGTCTGTGGCGCCTGCAAGAAACCAATAGTTGGACAGGTAAGGAAAGTAAATCTTCCAAATTGGAATAGAGAAAATAAAGCTGCAAAAACTGCAGTATTTTCAAGTTTACCCTAAACAGGATCCAAAGTGAACACCTATAGAGTGTATCGATCATGATTTTAGAAAAATAAATAAATAAATATTTGCATATACACATATTTACAGCCTTTTACAGAAACACTTTATGGATGTTTGACCTTTCAACAGCTAAGAATGTGGAGATTTATACCTCAAGTCTTAGAATTACATATTGAACATGAACACTTTGAGTGACAGGAGAGCTACGGAACAGGCCTGTACAAAATCCTTGAGTTCATGCTGGGATGCATTTCTTTCTCTCATCACTTTTGTTTGCTGAAATCCAAAAACAGCTTCACCTAATGACTAAACTTTAGTTTTCAGAACTGCTGTTTGCACATTACTGATTGACATTTTGGTGGCTATATCTAACTCTGATGTCCAGTTTTATATTTAAGTGAGCATTAACTTGTGCAGAGGAGATGAGCAGACTTTTTAAAAAACACAATTCTAGCAGTTTTTTTAGTTATGTYTTTAAAAAAAGAGTTGCAAGGCATTTTTTTTGTTAATTAAAGGAGTTATGCATGACGTGCATGGCTGCACTGATGACTTAATTTGAAAATCACTCATTCATTAAATAATCCAACTTGCATCAAGTTGGCTGCTTTTTTTAAGRTGAAAAATGTTAAGATTCTGCTTGCGTTCATTGCGTTATTGAATTGTAGTTTCACAAGTTTGCAAGATGAAACTCGTCTCCAAATGTCACTCGCTCACTCAAAATTGCCTGTTTGAAAGCAGCATATTCTCCCCTGGTAGATTTAACATCTTACCGTCACAGTTTCATGAGCATCTGAAAAAGGAATGCCACTTTGAATTTCAATTTACATGTGAATATACATCTGCTACTCTGTGCAGTAATCCCTCTGCCTCTCGCTGCCTGCAGTGCTGCAGGGCTTTTTTTTCTCTCTCTCTCCTGAGCAAGCTCATCACATTTTAATGCGCTGTGTCTCCTCACACCAGGTGGTGACTGCCATGGGCAGAACGTGGCACCCGGAGCACTTTGTGTGCACCCACTGTCAGGACGAGATAGGCTCCAGGAACTTCTTTGAGCGTGACGGGCAGCCTTACTGCGAGAAAGACTACCACCACCTGTTTTCACCGCGGTGCCACTACTGTAATGGACCCATACTGGATGTTAGTAATGCATACATACATCAACACACACGTAGATAGATACTGATATTTATTTATTCATAAGCTGGAAGCCTTAGTGGAAAAATCACTACATGATGGAAACTGCTTGTCTTTGTAAAGGAAGCTCTGACGGTTAGGTACTCCCTGTTCTAAAAACAGTTGAAGTAAAGTGACTTACTACTTTTTGTTTTTTAAATAATAGTTAAAAACAAGTGGAGAGGTTATTGAAAGTGATATATGTAAGGATTATTGATTTTTGCCCATAACTGTGCATGCCTGTTTGTTACTAAAATATCTCATGAAGCTCTGGACAAATGTTAAGTGCAGACAGTAAACATTGGATGTTCAACTCCGTTTGGAGTCAACTGACCTAAAACACAATTATGAGCATATCTCAGTCAGTTCTGCAGCTATTAACCGAAAATGTGTTGTGATCGTAGCTGAGATTAATAATTCTGGATGCACATCTGGAGTCATTACAAATCYAGATGTCCGCCACAAATAACTGGCTTTAGTCAACACAAAATTGTCTATAACTCAGTTAATTTTACAGATATTCAGCTAAAATTGGATGCAGTAATAGGCTGAGAGTCATTTACTCTGAGGCTAAAAGCTTGTGAATACAACTGTGTTTGACAAAAATGCAACGTTTTTTTTWTTTATTTCTAAACATTAGCTGATCTTAGTCTAAAACTATAGCATGAAAGATATAATAGGCATTCCTTCAAGAAATGCTAGGTCTCCAGTGTGAGACAAAAGGCACAGGACACCCTTTTATTTTGATCCGATATGGCGGCTTTTAAGACTTCAGCCATGTTCTGGACAGACCCTAAAAGAGAGGCCTCTTCACCCGTTACGTGCTGATGTATTCTGAGATGTCATTTTCCCATTTTCTTTCTAAAATAAAATGGTGTCCTGTGACTTTTGACTCACCCTTTATAAATAAAGTTTTGTAGCATCTTTGCAGGTATTAACATTCTGAACAACCGACTTGTTTATTTTTGCCATCCTGCATACACAAATTTAGGAATAATTTGAATCTGCTATTATTGAAATGTAATAAGTCTCACTTAAGTGGATTATTTACTTTTTCTAAAGTGTATGTAGYTCCTCACAGTTTTACAGTAGCCTGAACGTTACTGACGCAGACAAAACCAGCTCATACGTCCACGTCACTGTTTGTTACACTCCTCTCCTACTTGTCAGCACTCAGACTTATCTTCAAAACAACACAACTCCCTTTGMTTTTTTTTTCAGCCACTGCTCTTACACACACTCATAGAAACGCACACCATGCCAGAGGCATTTGAAGAGAAGCACGCAGTGATCAGTGGACTTCAGTGTGCAGGAAGGCCAACATGAGTCATGGCCGAGGCACAGCTTGTCTTCCACACTGCTATCACTTCTCAATTCGTTTTTTTTCTTGGGTTTCCACCAAAACCAGAGGGAGGCACTGAGATTTCTTTTTTCTTTTTTGTTAATTAACCGGCAGTAAATTAAAAAAAATTTCTCACAACGTTTTTCTCAAAAGATTGCAATCTGAGGAGTAGAGAAATGTACATGCCTTCACAGAGATTTAATGTTAAAAATTACCTTCAAGTAAACTAATCCTCTGTAACACTTCCTGGTGGCAAAGCCTGGAATCACTTTGATTTGGCACAAAAAAAATGTGCAGAAGTTGKTATGCTGCAGGAATTTGCAAACTGGTGTGACCTGAAGCTACTGGAAAACAAATGCTATCAGTGTTAGCATTCTAGCATCTCCGACGCTGCTACAGTGTCTGCACTCAGTCTGCCCTCTCCTGGCCTCCACTTAGTTTCTTATTAGACAGGAGATAAATATTCTTATACATCGACTTTTGTTGTTTGGTGAGGAAGTGTTTTTTTATTAATGTAACTGTAAAAAAAATTACAACAGAGTCATTGTTTGCTTTTTGTGTTTTTTTTTTTACAGAAAGTAGTGACAGCTTTGGACAAGACTTGGCATCCGGAGCATTTCTTCTGTGCTCAGTGTGGATCTTTCTTTGGACCTGAAGGTACCTGTCTCTGTCCATGTCCTCCTCAACCATCAAAGCAAAGCTGTTTTAACCGGAACAGCTGGTTGAAATCATTACGTGCCTTTGCTGCCCTCTAGGTTTCCACGAGAAGGATGGAAAGGCGTTCTGCAGAAAGGACTACTTTGACATGTTTGCTCCTAAATGTGGCGGCTGTGCCCGAGCCATCCTCGAAAACTACATCTCTGCCCTCAATTCACTCTGGCACCCAGAATGCTTCGTCTGCAGGGTGAGTCACAGGGCCTATCTTTAACAGATCAACATGAAAATCTTATTCGAATCAATAAATAAAAAAATCTCCAGACATAAGGTTCCCAGAAATAATCATTTGTTGTACATCTGATAAGGTTGGCCTTAAAGGGAACCCTGACTAGTTGTAATATTAGACACTATTTGATAAACATTTACTTCAGCTGTAAAACCAAGACTGTGAAAATATTGTAGGTTCTTTACTTTTTGTAAATTTAAAAAATATACACTGCAAAGTATACCAGGTAAATGATGACATTTACTATTTTTTTCTGTTCACGGCTGCAAGCTCTTTTTCACCCTGAAGGTTAATCTTGAACAATATCTGATGATCGACTCTTTTTAATGAAACCAGAGAGCGTTGACAAAGAGGAGAAGGTAGAAATGACTCAGTCTTAAACTGA